TAGTTTGAGTTAAACTTGGCCAATTATTAAGCTTACGAAACAATTAGTTACCTAAGCTAATTAGTTTCTTGAAAAAAAGAAAGAAGGACAAAGAAAGTTACAGCGAAACTTTGTTCTTGAGAGCCAGAAGAGAGAGTTAGAGAAAGGAAAGAGAAATAGGAAAAAAACAAAGGAAATTCAACTTCATCATTTTTCACTTGAGAATTGCACACTGAGGTGATTTAGAAAACCTTAAATATCGTTAAGCTACAATTACACATAAAATTGTCTTTCTTAGAGGCTAAGCAAGGTTAGTCTGAGTTAAACTTGGCCACTTAAGCTTGTAAAAAAATTAGTTAGCTAAGCTGATTAGTTTCTAGAACAAAAGAGAGAAGGACGGAGAAAGTTATAGAGAAACTTTCTTCTTGAGAGCTAGAAGAGAAAGTCAGGGAAATGGAAGAGAAAGAGGAAGAAAATCAAAAGAAATTCAAATTCATCCTTTTGGACTTGAAAATTGAAGACTTAGATGATTTTGGAAGCCTTAAGTGAGGTGCTTAGATTAAACTAATATCGTTAAACTAGAATTACTCAGAAAAATCTCTTTATTAGAGGCCAAGCAAGATTGGTTTGAGTTAAACTTGGCCACTTAAGCTTATGAAACAATTAGTTGCCTAAGCAAATTAGTTCCTGGAACAAAAGAAAGAAGGAAGGTGAAGTCAAGATAAACTATCTTCTTAAGAGATAGAAGAGAAAGTCAGAGAAAAGAAAGAGAGAAATAGGAAGAAAATCAAAGGGAGTTCAAATTCACACTTTTGGTCTTGAGAATTGAACAGTTAGGTGAGTCAGAAACCTTAAATGAGGTGCTTAAGTTAAACTAATATTGTTAAGCTAGAATTACTCAGAAAATTCTCTTTCTTAGAGGCAAAGCATGGCTAGTTTGAGTTCTACTTTCCCACTTAAGGTTATGAAAACAATTGGTTGTCTGAGCTAAAAATAAGGGAGGTTTGGGCTTTAAATCTTTAGATATTTGGAATAAAGCGGCCATAGCTAAACATATTTGGTTTTTGTTTTCCGGGGGTGAGGGATCGATGTGGTGTCAGTGGGTCAAATCCTACTTATTAAAGGGGAAGAGTTTCTGGAAAGTTAAGGTACCTAATGATCCTTCTTGGGTGTGGAGAAAATTATTGTCTCTTAGGAAGTGGGTTTCCCCTATGATTAAGCATAAGATTGGGTGTGGGGATGCTACTTTCCTTTGGTATGATAATTGGTACCCTCTTGGTCCATTGTGGAACGAATTCGGGGATAGAATTATTTATGATTCTACCCTTAACAGTGAAACAAAAGTTAGTAAAATCATTGATGGGCCTTCTTGGAAGTGGCCTACTCCCAACTCTTGGGAAATTCAGGAGTTAATCTCTTCTACTCCTGTGTGTTTTAATCCCAATCCTTCCAGCACTGATCAAGCTCTTTGGAATCTTACTACTGATGGTAAGTTTTCCATTCAATCAGCTTGGAATCATTGGAGAAAGAAATTCGATAAAGTGGTTTGGCATAAGCTTGTGTGGGGCCCTCATAGAATCCCTAAAGTTAGCTTCATTGTTTGGGTGGCTCTTCACAATAGACTTTACACAGGTGAAAGACTCCGTATGTTTGGCTTGTCCCCTAGCTCTCTATGCCCTTTTTGCCTCATTCTGGAGGAAAGCCATTCGCATCTATTCTTTGAGTGCATCTTCTCTAGCAGAGTCTGGAGTGCCATTGAAGCTGCTTGTAACATTAAGTGGCCTGTTCTTAGTTGGCCTGACAGTGTTACTTTTGCTACTAAGGAGACCAAAGGTGACTCTTTGAGGGTCAACATCATTAGCAATGCATTCTTATGCTCTGTTTACTTTATCTGGATTGAAAGAAATAACAGAATTTTTAAAAAAGAACTAAAACCTGAAGAGGTGGTCATTAAATCTGTTATCCAAATGGTTAGAAATAGAATGTTATCAATTAAGAATATTCCTAGATCCAATGGTGACAGATGGTTTCTAGATCAATGGAATTTGCCGGAGACAATTTTGAAGCCCCATAACATCAGAAATGGGAGGGCTGCTGAGTGATGTGAGTTCACTATATGTGGGTTGAGTGATGGTGAGCTTAAATGAGGGCTTTAAGTATTTGAGTTTTTCTTTTTTGCAGGTGTAATTGAGAGGTTCAAATGGAGCTATCTATCCTTGAGGGTTGAGTGATGAGAGTTACTTTATATGTTCTCCAGTTACATGTGGGTCGAGTGGTGTAAGCCAAAATTTTTTTTGCTAATGCCTATATATACTGTAAATTTTTATGTGCAGGTTAAGGATGCTAATTTTGAGTGGTGTGAGCCCCTAAAGTGTGGGCCGAGTCATGAGAGTTCCTACATTGAGTGTACTGTTGCTATGTTCTGTCCTTGTTACCTAAAATTGCTTCATGGAATGTTAGAGGTTTGAATGATCCCTCTAAACAAAAAGAAGTTAAGAATTTTGTGTCTAAAGAAAATGTTCATGTTATGGGAGTTTTGGAAACTAAAATAAAGCAACCCAATGAGAGGAAAATTTGTGGAAAATGTTTTGGTAACTGGTCTATGCTCTCCAATTCACAACCAACTGAAACTGGGAGAGTCTGGGTGTGCTGGAACAATGATTTTTGTGATCTTCAACTGATTTTTGTGTAAAATCCTTGATTTGGCTACAAATGAATATTTTTTTGCTGTTTTTGTCTATGTTGCAAATAAGCACACTTTAAGGAAAGTATTTTTTGATACAATGTTTAACATCTCCCGTGCTAATTCCAAAATTCCTTGTATTTTCTTGGGTAATTTTAATGCTATAAGATACCAACAGGAAAAAATTGGGGGCTCTCCTTCATGGACTTCTGAAAATGAGGAGTTTAACACTTATATTAACGCATCTGAACTGGCTGATCTATCTTATGGTGGATGCCAATTCACATGGGCTAATAAAAGGAGTGAGGGAGCTTTCATAGCAACCAAGATTGACAGAGTTCTGGTTAATGAGGCCTGCCTGGATAAGTTTCCTGAGTCTACGGCTACTTTTCTCCCGGCTGGTATTTCTGATCACTCATCTGTTGTGGTCAACATCAGTGTTAACAGTAGCTCCTTTAAGAAACCTTTCAAATACTTTGACTTCTGGTCTCAACACCCAGATTTTCTTAGCACTGTTTCTAATACCTGGTTTCAATATATTCGTGGTGTCCCTATGTTCAGAATTTGTCAGAAGCTGAGACAACTCAAAGTCAGTCTTAAGCTTCTTAATAAAAAAGATTTTAGTGATCTATCCACTCGTGTCCTTATCTCTAAGGCTAGTCTGGATCTTGCTCAAATTAAGCTTGATAAAGATCCTTTGAACTGTGGGCTTCAATCTGTGGAGAAAGAGGAGTTAAAAAGATACATTGAGCTTAGCAATTTGGAAGAGTGCCTTGCTCTTCAAAAATCCAGAGTCCAATGGCTTGGTCTGGGGGATAGGAATAGCAGCTTCTTTTTTAGGTCTGTTAAGAGTAACATTAATAGAGGTAAAATCATGAGTGTGGTTATGGAAGATGGTACTAAGTCCACTAAAATAACTAATATTCATGATACTTTTGTCCAGTTCTATACCAAGCTGTTTGGTACCCCTATCTTGGGGGAGTACAATGGCCTTGAGCGCATTAAATCGTTGGTGAATAAAAAGGTTTCCCATTCTCAATCGGCTCTTTTGGCTAAACCTATTTCGGATGCTGAAATCAAGGAGGTTTTCTGGTCTCTCAAAGCCAATAAAGCTCCTGGCCCTGATGGGTACTCAGCTGGCTTCTTCAAAAGCTCGTGGGATATTGTTGGGAAGGAGGTTACTCTTGCCATTAAGTCATTTTTTGACTCTGGTAAACTCCTCTCGGAGATCAATAGCACCATCATTGCTCTTATTCCCAAAATTCCTAATCCTATGAATGTGGGTGACTATAGGCCTATTTCTTGCTGCAACACCATCTACAAATGCATTGCCAAGATAATAGCTAACAGAGTCAAATTGGTACTTCCTGATCTTATTGATCCTGTGCAATCTGCTTTTGTCCAGGGTAAAAGAATCTCGGACAACATCTTTCTGTCCCAAGAGATTATGAGGGGTTACCATCGGAGTTCCAAAACTCCGAAGTGCGCTATGAAAGTGGACATCATGAAAGCCTATGATACTGTGAGATGGGAGTTTATTATTGATATCCTCACTGCTATGAACTTTCCTCCTTGCATGATAAATTGGATCAATGCTTGTATGACTAGTCCTTCTCTCTCTATTTGCATTAATGGTAGTTTTCATGGGTACTTTAAAGGGGCTAGGGGCCTTAGGCAAGGAGACCCCATGTCCCCTTATCTTTTTGTGTTGGCTATGGAGGTTTTGGCTAGAATTCTTGCTGAAAAATCTAGAAACCCCCTTTTTAAGTTCCATTGGAGATGTGAGAAGACTAAAATTGTAAATTTGTGTTTTGCTGATGACCTTATGATCTTCTGTAGAGGGGATCCGGGGACTGTCAATCTCATCATGCAAGGTTTGGAGGAATTTAGGAACTTGTCCGGTCTCACTCCTAATCCTAATAAGAGTAACATTTATTTCTCCGGATGTAGTAGTGAGCTTAAAGCTAACATTTTGCAAATTGCCAAATTCACTGAGGGCTCCCTCCCTGTGAAATATTTGGGTGTGCCTTTGATTACCACTAAGCTCAAAGCGTCTGACTGCCAAATTTTGGTTGATAGGATGACTAAAAGGATCAAAAGCTAAACCAGTAAATTGCTATCTTATGCTGGTAGAGCCCAACTCATCCAGTCTATTCTTTTCTCGATGCAAGTTTATTGGTCTTCTATTTTTATTCTCCCTAAGAGGGTTATCCGCGACATTGAAAATCTGCTCAGATCTTTCCTTTGGTCTGGGACGGAGCTGAAAAAGCATAGTGCTAAAATTGCTTGGAAGAATATTTGCAAAAAAAAAAATGAGGGTGGGCTTGGTTTTAAGGATATGGAGGTTTGGAATAAAGCGGCTATAGCCAAACATGTTTGGCATTTGTTTTCGGGTGGGGATTGTTCTATGTGGTGTCAATGGGTTAAATCCTACTTACTTAAGAGTAAGAGTTTTTGGGGTATTAAGATGCCTAGTGATCCATCCTGGGTTTGGAGGAAACTTTTATCGCTTAGGGATTTAATCTTCCCTATTATCAAATTCAAACTTGGTAATGGTGAAAATGTGTTCCTCTGGCATGATAACTGGCACCCCTTTGGTTCGCTCTTGCTTCGGTATGGTCCTAGGATTTTGTATGATACCAACCTTCCTGACAACTCTAAGGTTAGTTCAATTATCTCAAATGATTCTTGGAACTGGCCTTTTCCTAATTCTTGGGAGATACAGGAATGGATTGCTGCCACTCCTCCTTCTCTTAAACCTTCCCTTGATTCCCCTGATGTTCCTGTGTGGAGTTTGTCTGCTGATGGCTCCTTTTCTATACACTCTGCTTGGGAATGTTGGAGGGACAAGGGCCCCGAGGTTACTTGGTCTAATCTCATTTGGGGTCCTCCTGTTATCCCTAGGGTTAGTTTCATTGTGTGGATGGCTATCCATGAGAGACTTAACACTGGGGATAGACTCCAAATCTTTGGTCTTCTTACGAGCCCTAGCTGCCCTTTATGTTGTGCTCCTGAGGAAAACCATTCCCATCTGTTCTTTAGGTGTCACTACTCCTCTAGGATTTGGGCTGTTATCCAAGCTAAGTGTAATTCCCACTGGCCTTCTTTGCCCTGGTTGGAACTTGTTGAGTTTGTTACTAAATCCATCAATGGTAAATCTCTGAAATCTGTGATTATGAAACTCTCTTTTCTCTGCACTATCTACCACATTTGAATGGAGAGAAATAGTAGAATCTTTAGTAAGGTTTTCAAACCTGAAGAGGTTGTCACTAACTCTATCATCCAAATGGTTAGGGGTAGACTCCTTTCTATGGAAAATGTGAAAGCTTATGCAGGTGACAACTGGTATTTGGAACAATGGAACCTACCTTCTAAAATCCTATTGCAGTCCCAAACTGCTGCAGCTGAAAGGAATTTGAGTGGTGTGAATTATCCTACATTGAGGGTTGAGTGATGGTGAGCAGATAAGGAGTGTTTTGTCTAACAAATGGTGCTGTCTTGCAGATGGTTTTACTCTCAGATTCTATCAGCTATTATGGATCCCAAATATTCACAAAATCTGGAGCCTATGAAGGGAGGGTTGAGTGATGTGAGCCAGCTTAGTGCAGTTCTCTGACCTCTTCTGGTGTGGAGTGAGGGGGACACTGCCATGGGGAATTGAGGTGTGGAATTTGCCATGGCTGGAACTGGGAGATGTGTGGTGAGTTAATTGGATTTTGATTGGCTCTTTTGTGTGGACAACACTTTTTGCATTGGCTATGCTTCTTGGTTTGTTGATAAACCCAAGTGGGTGAGTGGTTTTTGTTTGGAAATTGGGGGGCCTTTATGCATTCTGCTGTCTACTATACTTGGCTTTTCCGCTATTTGGTTGATGATCTGTACATATTCATGTGATTCGGCTTAGTGCAATTCTCTGACCTCTTCTGGTGTGGAGTGAGGGGGACACTGCCATGGGGAATTGAGGTAGGGAATTTGCCATTGCTGGAATTGGGAGATGTGTGGTGAGTTAATTCGATTTTGATTGGTTTTTGTGTGGACAACATTTTTTGCATGGGCACTTCTTTGTAGTTGATAAATCCAAGTGGTTGACTGGTTTTTGTTTGGAAATTGGTGGGCCTTTATGCATTCTGCTGTCTACTATACTTGGCTTTTCCGTTATTTGGTTGATGATTCGTACATATTCATGTGATTCGGCTTAGTGCAGTTCTCTGACCTCTTTTGGTGTGGAGTGAGGGGGACACTGCCATGGGGAATTGAGGTGTGGAATTTGCCATTGCTGGACCTGGGAGATATGTGGTGAGTTAATTGGATTTTGATTGGCTCTTTTGTGTGGACCACACTTTTGCATGGGCTATGCTTCTTGGTTGTTGATAAATCCAAGTGGGTGAGTGGTTTTAGTTTGGAAATTGGTGGGCCTTTATGCATTCTTCTGTCTACTATATCTGACTTTTTCGTTTGGTTGATGATTCATACATATTCATGTGATTCAGCTTAGTGCAGTTCTTTGACCTCTTCTGGTGTGGAGTGAAGGGGACACTGCCATGGGGAATTGAGGTGTTGAATTTGCCATGGCTGGAACTGGGAGATATGTGGTGAGTTAATTGGATGTTGATTGGCTTTTTTGTGTGGACAACTTTTTTGCATGGGCTATGCTTCTCTGTTTGGTCTTGTTGGGTGTTTAGTTAGTTACATTGTATTGTGTGTTTTCTCTATTTTGTTCTCGAGTCTGTGGTGTGTTTTGTTTATTTGCCCATATATCCATCCCAAGTTCCCATCTATTATCTTTGATGGTAAGGGTTACTTGGGGACAAAAAGGATATATGGGCAAAGTGGGGTCCTGTTCTTCTTTTCTTTTCTGTTGTTCTTTCGCTTTTGCGAGTGTGGTAATATGTTGTCGTATGTCCTGTGGTAGGTTGTGGTGTTTTTTGTTCTTCATTATTGGTTGTAGGGCGTACCTGGGGTATGCCCCTTGTAAACTTGTACATTTTACTGTCCTGGAATGAGAGAGCACGGAATATGTGGGCCGAGTGATGGGAGATCTTATATTGAGTGGAGAGCTCTCTTTTATTGTGGGTCGAGTGAGGGGAGGTCCTATACTGAATGCTTGTTGTTTCTTCTTCTGTATGACTCAATATATTGTTATGGAAATTCCTCTCTATTATATGTTGAACAGGTTCAGCAACAACTTGTTAGGTGGGATTGCTCCTGGCAGTTTCTCTCGGATGGTTATTGGATCTGGGCTTTGGCTGCAAGAAGGTTGCTGTTGGTGGCTATCTCTGGGCATTGGCAGCAATCTGTGCCGGGGTCTGCCTGGTGGTATGTAGGTGGCTGCAATCAGCGTCTCTCTTTGGCGTTGTACGCTGTGTGGATCTACACTTCGGTGATGGCTGCAAGTTGCGCCTTGCCTAGGCATTTCAGTGGGTTCACAAGCTATCTTCAGTTCTTTTATTTCTCTCTTGCTGTGGAGGAGTGGTGGCTGTATGCTGTTCAGTTTTGGGTGGCAGTTGGCAGGGTGTGTAGGTACCATGGTTATGGCTGCTTCAAGCGCCTTGCTATGCTACTAGTGGGAGCTAATCAGTGGTCTTTCTTTTTAGTTTTATTTGTTCATAGTTGTATTTTGCAGTTTGCCTACTCCTACGGGCTGTGTAGGAGGTTTCATGTGTACTTTGGTGTCTCGTGTAACAGGTTTTTTGAGCAATTCGGTAGGATGGGCCCCTCTTGGTTCATCACTTCGGTTTGCTTGGGTTACTATTTTTGTATTATATTTATTTTGTTACAGATGCCTACCCCTACGGGTTGTGTAGGGAGGTTTTGTGGGTGTGATGGTGCCCACCCCTACGGGTTGTGTAGGGAGTTTTTGGACTGTTGTTATGGTGCTTGTTGGTTGCTGGTTTTGTCTTCTGTACAAGGTCCCTATTCATCATAGGATATGGCCTTTGTACAGTTCGCATGGCTAAGTTTTCCTTTGGCTCTCCTAATTTTCGGATGTAGCTCTTAGGTTTGGTCTAGTGTTTTAGTTTGTGTTTCTTTGGGCTTCGGGTCTGTGGGCTGAGGCTCGTGTTGTTTTCTGCTGTTAGGGCCTGGGGTATGCCCCTTGTATTTTTGTAAATCTTTCTGTTTTATATTATTTCTTGGTCACCTAACTTAATTTGTTCGGAGAACAAAACGGAGATGGATGGAGAAACACGGAGGGAGTTTTAGAGAAACATTCTTCCTAAGAGTCAGAAAGAAAGTTAGAGAAAACAAAGGGCAATAGGATGAAAATTAAAAGGAATTCAAATTTGTCGTTTTGGACTTGAGAATTGAACACTTAGGTGATTTAGAAAACATTAAACGAGTTGCTTAAGTTAATGTAATATCGTTAAGCTACAATTACACAGTAAATTCTCTTTCTTGGGGCCTAAGCAAGATTAGCTTGAGTTAAACTTTGCCACTTAAGCTAATAAAACTAATAGTTGCCTAAGGTAATTTGTCCCTAGAACCAGAGAGAGAAGGATGGAGAAGGACGGGGGAGTTAGAGAGAAATTTTCTTCTCGAGTGGTAGAAGAGAAAAAGCTAGAGAAAATAAAGGGAAAAAAGATGAAAATTAAAGCGACTTCGGATTCAACCTTTGAACACTTAGCCGATTTACAAAACCTTAAATGAGGTGCTTAAGCTAAACTAATATTTTTAAGCTACCATTATTCGGTGCAATCTCTTTCTTGGAGGCTAATCAAGATTAGTTTGAGTTAAACTCGGCCACTTAAGCTAAAGAAACTATTAGTTGCCTAAGCTAATTAGTTCTTAGAACAAAAGGGAGAAGCCTGGAGAAGGACGGGGAGAGGTAGCGAGAAACTTTCTTCTTGAGAGTTAGAAGGGAAAGGTTAGAGAAGAGAAAGGGAAGTAGAATGAAAATTGAAGGGAATTAAAATTCATCCTTTCGGACTTGAGAATATAACACTTAAATGATTTAGGAAACAGGAAATGAGTTGCATAAGTTAAACTAATATCGTTCAACTACAATTACTCAGTAAAATCTCTTCCTTGGAGGCTAAGCAAGATTGGTTTGAGTTAAACTTGGCCACTTATGGTAATGAAACTATAAGCTGCCTAACCCAATTAGTTGCTAGAAAAAAATAGAGAAGAAATGACACAGACGGAGAGAGTCAGAGAGAAACTTTCATCCTGAGAGCTAGAAGAGAAAGTTAGAGAAAACAAAGGGAAATAGGATGAAAAATTGAAGCGAATTCAAATTCACCCTTTTGGACTTGAGAATTGAACACTTAGGTGATTTAGAAAACATTAAATGAGTTGCTTAAGTTAAAGTAATATCGTTAAGCTACAATTACTGAGTAAATTCCTATTTTTTGGAGGCTAAGCAAGATTAGTTTGGGTTGAACTTGGCCACTTATGCTGATGAAACTAAGCTGATGAAACTATTAATTGCCTAAGCCAATTAGTTAATAGAACAAAAGAGAGATGGATGGAGAAGGACGGAGAGAGCTAGAGAGAAAACGTTCTAGACGAGAACCAGAAGAGAGAGTTAGAGAAAAGAAAAAGGGAAATAGGACGAAAATTAAAGGGAGTTCAAAGTCATCCATTTCGAAAACATTAAATGAGGTGCTTAAGTTATATTAATATCGTTAAGCTACAATTGCCTAGTAGAATCTCATTCTTGGAGGCTAAGCAAGGTTAGTTTGAGTTAAACTTTCCCACTTAAGCTAATGAAACTACTAGTTGGGTAACATAATTAGTTCCTAGAACAAAATAGAGAAGGATGGAGAAGGACAGAGAGAGTTAAAGAGAAACTTTCTTCCAGAGAGCTAAAATAGAAAGTTAGAGAAAATAATGCGAAATAGGATGAAAATTAAAGGGAATTCAAATTCGTCCTTTTGAACTTGAGAATTGAACACTTAGCTGATTTAGAAAAACCTTAAATCAGGCGCTTAAGTTAAACTAATAACATTAAGCTACAATTACTAAGTAAATTCTTTTTCTTGGAGGCTAAGCAAGATTAGTTTTAGTTAAACTTTGCCACTTAAGCTAATGAAACTGTTAGTTGCCTAAGCTAATTAGTTCCCAGAGCAAAAGAGAGAAAATGACGGAGAGAGTTAGAGAGAAACTTTCTTCCAGAGAGCTAGAAGAGAAATTTAGAGCAAAGAAAGGGAAGTAGGATGAAAATTAAAAGGGAATTGTTCGTCCTTTTATACTTTAGAATTGAACACCTAGCTGTTT